GTGGAATACTTAAAGGAGAACTTGCTCAGTGTTGTGTGGTCACTGGAAGCTCTGGGCTGTCTCCCCTGGATGTTTAGTGTCTCTTCTCAGATGTCACTATTTTTGAAGCCAGAATCAAGTTTGGAGAGCACATTCTATGAATTGTATGAAGGGCTGGAGCTAAAGAGCAACATGTTCTTTGGGGCCCCTTGTAGTACTAGCTAACTTATCAAAACTGTCAATTTAAGTTGAAGGTGTTATTAGTAGGTTGTAGATTTATTTTCATTCGGGAGGGAGAGCGCAGAGAAGTGAGAAATACAGGTTTCTTCAGTGCATAAATTGAGACTTACTTCAGGCACCTTGCAGGGGTTGTGCTGGATCGTAAGTCCTAATTTGTATTATTAATACAAATTACAGCTTTACAAACTGGAGTGTGTGCACATGAAAATTCCCAGTAAAAATTACTAACTCATGGAAAGCTGTTACCTTAAGTAGGAAATAGAAAATTGTTTGACAATGCTAATGCAAAGCTGCCCAAAAATGAAGAAATATGAAGTGAATATCCATGAATAGGTAAGGTTTAGTTTGCACCTTCTGTTTGTGTTTATTGTGTTTATGTAGAGAGAACGCTGGATGTTTTGGTAGCAAAGACTTACCATCTGAAAAACAAAGTGTGCAAATGACACAACATGGAAAGGCAGTTTCTGAAGAACTTCCTGCAAATCTTAGCACTTACAGAAACAAGCACATGCTCCAGAGTTATAACCATCCTGTGCAATTAATTCTGAGTAATACACTTTGTTGTTGTGTTTTTCTTCTAACTGCTGAAACCTCAGGTGTGAAACTCAAGAGTCATAGTGTAGTCATCACAGAAGTAACTTCTTAAAATTCATGTGGTTAATACTTTAGTAACTGCAACAGAGCTTCTACTTTGCTGAGTGTACAGTATCCAAGCATGTGGTTATTACATTTATCTTCACAGTCGTTTTATTCCATGCTGTACATTGTACAAGTGTGTCATATCATAGTTGCTGAGCATGTTATTGAACAAGGGTTTTTTTTTTGACTATGAAATGTCTCTTCATGTGTTCAGGCTGTAAAAATACCATAAACTCAAATCATCAAAACTGTGTTTGTTGTTGCAATGGCTGATTTTTTTAAAAATGTTTTTTAACATTTGACTTAATGTCATTTTTTAAACTAGGAAAGTAATACAGTGTACAAAATAAATTTAATATATTGAAGGCATGTTGCAGATATAGCCATTATCATGTGTTCCAACTTCCATCATTACTCTTGTATCTAACCCCTGAAGGGGTTTTTTATTGTGTTAGTAATACACATTGCTAGATAAAATGTCAGTAAATTATGGTGATTACTGGAGACAACAGAGCTAATCTAACCCAATTTTATCTGTATGTAATTTAAATATTGATGTCATTAAGTTACACGGTTGCATATTCTTATTGCTGCACATACGCTCTTCTAAGTAGGAGGCTCAAGGGACTCACCAGTTCATAATTCATTCTGCACAGCTTGTGCAGTTAACTACATTTACCTGCATTGCACTTGCATTTAAACTTGAGTGAGTTAAAGTATTCTGCAGCAGTTTTGTTCTGTGTTAACACTGAGTTTGGTGGGTTTTTTGTGTTTAAATCACCAGATTTATATATAGTTGCGTATTTCAAAATGATGATTCACAAGGCTAGCTATAGATTTGTTTGTCTATAAAATGTTTAGTAGTGTAGCATGAAGAATGGCTGTTCTCTTGGTGAACAAATGAAACTATTTTTCAGTTGTGTGCAAGGTTAGTGTACACAGAAGGGCTCAGGTGTAGGGTGGGATTTTTGTCTTCATATAGGCTTGTCACAGATTCCCTTGTAATTTGAATTTAATTCAGATAGTGTTGTTCAGTTTTCTTTCTCTGAAGTGATACTTATTGGGCTAATTTAAGGACTGCAGTTTGAGGAATGCCTGGTTTTGGGCAGTACAGATGGGTTTATTCCTGTGCAAATGTGACTGTTCATTGAGGTTAATTATCCATAAGGTTCTGACTTATGAGGCTACTAGAATAGCTGTTAACTATGAATAATTTAGTACAGCATCATATTGCGTGCCACTTAAGAAGGCCTCTGCCTGTGACTCCTTATATCTTGTTGAAATTCACTCAATAGTATGAAGGTTACTGCTTGCACTGATATTTTATTGTACTCTTTTCGTTCTATTTTAAGATTTGTCAGTGTTCAATGGGAATGTGAATAATTTATAGCAATAAGTAATCTGTGCAAGAATAGGCATAGTTTGTTTTTGGAAAGCTGAGCAATTGAGCCAGTCTTCAGTGTTAAATTGTCTTTTCTTTTAAATCTTGGACTGGCATAATGCAGTTAGTTTTCTCCACTGAGATTTATGTAGTTGAGACAATTCATGTCTTAGAATATGCTTCATTATGGAGAAAGGAAGGAAACATAATGAAAAACTTGCAAGCAAGAGTACAAGATTTCAGTGCTTTCTACAAATTGTCATAGTTGCTCATACATCTGGCTAGAGCAGACTGTGTCTCATATTACAGGGGCCTTTTCAGGAGAAAAGCTGCAAATGCAGAACTTTGAAGCAGATCCAAGTGCAGATAGATTTACTGTATGCCTTTAGGAGACTTGATCATTGTAACTCAGCGCTCTGGTTTTTTAAGAATGCTAAAATGATAGTATTTTGTCATTATCATATACTAGATTTTTTCACAAAAGCACCCAAAGACATTAGGAAAGAGCTTCATGAAGAAAGAAGTTGCTTTGGAAATGTCAAGGGAAGAACATAAGAACATGAACATGCAACAGTAGTAGTAGAGCAGAATGTTTCTTTGGGCATTTTGGGGAGAGGAACTGATGCTTTATGATATTTAAGGAAGGTCTGTCAGATATCTGGAAAGGGTTTTTCCCTTTCTGACTACTTCCACATTTCCATTAGTGCTGCCATTCTCTGTCTCAACTAGTAAGTTTTTCTGGTATAAGAAAGAAGGGAATCCCCTCCCAAGAAGACCTGGGAGATGGATTTTGAGTCCTTGTGCAGCATTTTTAGAAAGGGTTCTGCTAGTCTGTTTTCAACCCTTTTAAAAGTGACTTTTAAAAGTAACAGTGGAAGTACGTTATCCTCCTTGTCTTGCTGTGTTGTCAGATGAAAAGGGAGAGAAGCAGGTGAACATCAGGAATGGTACCCAGTGAACATTGTTTTAGCCAGAATATGTGTTTGTTAGTCATTTTGGGCCCATTCATTAGGATGCTCTATTATAGCTGTACCTATCTTAACTCTTCTTTTGAATTGTTCTGTAGGACACTTGCAACCTCATTTAGAAAGTAGAACTTTTTTTTTTCCCCTGTTCCAAATGAGATTTGTGATGCTGTTAGAAGTTGACACGGTGATGTACAGTCATCTTTTGGTGCCCACTTCAGTGACTGAAGATAAAATAGGCCTTTTATCTTTTTGTGCTCCTTCACAGGGCAGTGAGTAATATAGCTGTCCATTAAGGGTTGGTAGTTAAATGCTAAGATCTTGCTAGCTGTGTTTATTCCTCTTTGAAGGTGAGGAATCATATCAGTCCCTTTGAATGGGCACTCTTTGAGCTGTACATTATGGGGCTCTTTTAATAAACTCTCAAGCCTCTAACAGTTCTGCAGTTTACTACTGACTCAACCCATACTTTGATGGAAATGCAGTTTTGTTTACAGATGGAAAGAGCTCATTACATTGATCAGCCCTGGTGTAAAATTTGTAAGGCTGTTTATTTTCAAACTGGGAGCTCTAAAATCCTGAAAGCTGAAAATTAGTGGGATATTCCTTACTCCAGTGCTTTTTGAATTACTTTTAATTGTCTTCTCTCTGCAAATACTTTTTATGCTGAAATAGGCCATAGTTTACTTTACTAGGCAGCCATGAAAAGTTGAATTGTCAATTTTCCTGATTGAAATAGTAAAATATGTCTCTGTTCTATGTGTAGTATGTGCTCGTGCTTTTCTGGTGTGCTTGTATTCTTCAGATTCTGATTTGTCTGAAATCTGATTATTTCAATTACTAGAAATCATTAATAATATATGGTATCTGTGGGTGGCCGTTGCCTGTCAGAATCAGGGACGTGTCAGACCTCCTCCTTTGGCAAAAAGAATGAACCTCCTGTTGCTGGGATCCTAATGTTAAGGCAGTGCAACAGTGAGGGCACAGAATATCCCACCTTCACCCGTGGCCTTTCTCACTGCAGCATGTATTTCACTGTGGTTAAACCTCACCGTGGCAGGCCTTTGCAGACCTCTAACAGGATGCTCTGCCCATCTCTTGAGCAGAGCAGTTACAGGAAGCCTCTTGGAGGTGGGCACAGGCAGCTTTTGTGAGCTCCCTCGGCTGTGTTTATGCAGCACTTTTCAGGCTTTTAATCCTGGCCTCAGCCCATCATGCAGACGGATCTGTTTTTCTGAGGGTTCTCTTAACAGCCAGTAGTTGCTGGTCTACAAAGCAGGTTTTTGAAGACTGACATCATTTGTGTCTCTTTCCTTGCGCTGCCTGGGCTGTCATGGTGGGATCCAGATGCAAAAGGTGATCTGTGCTCCTTGCTGTCACTGAGGGTAGTAGGTAGGAGGGCAGAGCATGTGGAAGGCTCTGAATTTGCCTGCTCAAGCTTTCTGCTACCTGTGAGGAAGCTCTACTTTGAATGTGTGCAGTATGGCTGCAGTACTTAGAGCAATAGAAGGGACGAATTGCCTGAAAGGCTTCTTTTTTTAAATGCACAATTCTATTGGTCCTGCATACAAGAACAAGATACTGTCCAACCTAAAATTGTGGGAGACAACAGACTGTGAAGTTATATTCTGCCTTTTATTTTCACCTTTAAAATAAACTTCCCCCTGTTACTGTTGAAATGTCAGTTAGTGTTGCAGTTAAAAAAATCCTATGCAGCTGATGGAGTGTCATTGTTTTAATACAGTCTGTAACTAATCTTTATATTAAAGCCTTGATATTTGTTGTTTCTTATTTAGCTTTTATCAAGTGGTGATTTTATGCAATGGCATCAAGCCACAGTTCTTCACCAGTGCCTCAGTCAAACAGCAGTGATGCTTTCTTTAAAAAGGAAATGGATGTCACGAAACGCTTTCGACCTGTGCAGTCACTGCCTGATGTGTGTCCCAAGGAACCTACAGGTAATGTCAGCGTGCAAGGAGAGTGAAAATGGAATTAAACTTGCTAACCCATTGACCATTGTTCAGTTCTTGTATACTGGGTGTAGTGTACTAAGCTGTAGTCTCATTTGAAAGTATGCTGTAATTCTGCTTTGTACCACCCCGTGTCCCTTTGGAGCAGTAGGAGAGCCTTCCTAGTCACAGCCTGCTTTCACATGTCCACGTTAGAGATGGGACCTTGCTTATGTGATTTCACATTATAGCCATGATCCATACTACATGCAAGAAAAGGGTATATTCTGTCAGAGCCTGTAACAGACCTGTCCAGTGTGCTTGGAGTCTAGCTGCATTACTTCTATGAAACAACCCAGCCCTCCTGCAGTAGGAAGCAAGAGACCAAGACCTGTCTCTAGCACTGTCATAAGTCTCTAGTGCTATTGTAAAACCAGGTTTTGGTCACAGTTGCAGCTGCAGGGCTATACTAAATCTTACTTTATAAAAACGAGCAGGTGGGGTCTTAAGAATCATGAAATATAACACTAATGAATTTCAACTGTGCTTCTGATTGAGTTCAGATTATTAAAATATGATTGTGTATGGGATTCTTTTCAGTAAAAGCTGATGTTGTTGAGTTAAATGTATTTAATGAGTATGAATGCACCACTGTTCAAACCTTGTGTTGGGTAATCTCATAGAAGAAATGCAAGGTAAAGTGTTGCAGAAGGAGAATATCACGTGTCTTTTGCATAGATAATTCCAATCCACTATTTAATTGTGGAAACACGGTTTGCTTAAGAACCACATTTTAGCAAAAATAGAACTTCCAGTTTCTCACCGTAAACTGTCTTGTCTTTTGTCCTGCAGGCGATCCCCATAATTTATGTGACAGCCCATCTCTAGTTGCGGATCAGCACAGATGGACTATTTATCATTCCAAAGTCAATCTCCCAGCAGCACTAAATGATCCTAGGTTAGCAAAAAGGGAATCTGATTTCTTTACAAAAACATGGGGAGTGGACTTTGTGGACACTGAAGTCACGCCTTCATTCTACCTCCCACAGATCACCAAGGAACATTTTGCATTATACCAACAGGAAATCGCTCCGGTAAGAACCCAAAACTTGATACACATAGTGCTAGGAGAGATTTGAGATCCTTCTTCTAATTAGAGGTTGTCCCTGCTAGTGGTCCCTTATGCAGTTAGCTGATAATTAATTTGCTCTTCAGTGCTTGTTGAGTCTTCATTAGGCGTTTCTTGTTTTGTAATCTCACTATTAGTAGTGTGGAAAATGCGGTCTAAATTCTCTCTAGGCAATTTCATGGGGTTTTTTCATTTGTATTTCTGAATACTGAGCTCTGCAGCAGTGCTTACAGTTCATATTCATTCTTTCTGATTATTAATCCTTCTTCTGTAAGGATTGTTTAATGATTGGGCTCTACAGTGCAACATAGTTTCAGACCTTTGGATCAAATATAAAACATGACTATGTACTGCAAGGATTGGAGATACACTTTTTTTTAAGTCTCTAATTTAAACATATATATGTGGAGTTCTTAAACTATAAATAGGCCTATTATCTCAATGATTTCTTTTGTAACAGGAAAGTTTAAGCTACATCTAAGGACACCAGGACCAGTAGGAGACTTCTACAAACTCTTAAAATACAGGTGTCAGTAAGTATGTAGTATTCTTTTTTCTTTTTTTTTTTAACTGAAAGAATATGTAGAAGTCTCCCACTGTTTTCTGCTTCCTTGGTTTGTAACTTTCTTTTGTGTTTTTTTTTTCTTGCTGGTACAGAATTGGCTGCAGGAGGTGTTACTTGTATACATCATAGTTAAAGAATGTCAAAGTGAATTGTCTGTAGCTGAACTATTGCCATTAGTTCACACACTCAACATTTAAAATGTCTAAGAGCTCATCCATTGAAATGAGTGTGTAATGCAGTGGCTGCTAAATGAAAGAAGATTTTGGGAGAAGGGAGCTAACCCATGAGGTAGTTTCTAGCAGTGATCTAGCTGACATCCGTGTTCTATAGAAATGCACTTTCTCACCACTGTGGTCTGTGGTGGTGTTTACACGTGTAGATAAAGTTTGAAACTCAGCATGACACAACAAGATGTGTGGTTTCAGCAAGGCACTCATTAGGTGTGGAAGCAATTTCTGCTTTGATCCAGTTTAATTTAACGATGAAAAATCATTCATTGTGTGTTAGTGTGCTTTCTGGATTAGAAAGCAAATATTTGGCTATGTAATCACAATTGAACTGTGGTTCTATCTCATCATGTAGAGAAGTTATTACACCTCTTCAAGAACTTTTGTGTCCTTTTTCTCTTGAGATGTAAAGATACAGAGAAAAACAGCATATCAACTACGGGCTGCAATTTTTGGTACCTTTCACCTGGACAAACATCATCTGAGCTTTTAAAAGGAAAAAAAATGCTGTTGTGAACTTACCAGAATTATTTGATTTCAGTGAAACCTATGTTTCACTGAAAATATTCAGAATATTCTGTTTCAAAGAAAAAACTCTTGTTTAAGCTTCAGAATAATTCTTAAATATATTTTCTCCTTTACAGAGAGAGAAGGTTCATGAAAGATGCAAGAACATTTGTACTCGTAAGGATACTTTCGATGGGACCCTATTACACACCCACGGTATAGTCAAAGCCTTCCCCTAGTCTTTAAAAAGTAATTTCTTTGTTATCAGTATGTAATAGCATTCAAAAATGAATGTTATAGCATACCAATAATCTCCTTTACTTGCTTGAAGGCTTCATGTGCAATAACAGCTGATGATGATTTCTTTGTAACAATAACTGAAAACCCAGATATGGTTGACTTAGTAGTATTTGTGACCACTGCTCGTATTTTATAGATCAGAATGCTTGTTATACATGCTCTTAAACTTTTCCTTGTCATGTTTGCATTCATGGCAGGTCATTATGTGCCTGCCAGTGTTTTCTTTAACTTCCTTTTATTTAAGATCTGTGGAAACTGTTGTGTCAGCAGCTGTTGACTTAGCAGAGAAGAATGGCGCTGGGCCATTCCTGTTTCTCTGCCCTGAGGATCACAGAATGGCTGAGGTGGGAGGTGACATCTCAAAATGGTCTACTCCAAACCACCTGCTCAAGCAGGATGACCTTTGTACAGGAGGACAATGTCCGGCTGCATTTTGGGTTTATCCATGGATGGATAAATGTACACAGCCTCTCTGGCTGTGTAAACACTGTTTCAGTGTTTGACCACCTTCACAGTAAATGTATTTTCCTTATGTTCAGATGGAATTTTTCATTTATCAGTTTCTGCCCGTTGCCTCTTGTTCTGTCAGTGGGCACCACTGAGAAGAGCCTGCTCTGTCTTCTTTACACCTTCCCATCAGATATTTGAAAACATTGATAAGATAACCCCTGATCTCTCTGAGGCTGAGCCAACTCAGCTCTCTCAACCTCTCCTGGTCTCTTAATCATCTTTGTGACCCTCCATTGGACTTACTCCAGTATGGGTAGGTCTGTCTTGTACTGGGGAGCTCAAAACTGGGCACACTGCTCCAGATGTCTAACTAGTGCTGAGTGGAGAGAGGGAGGATCACCTTCCCTCAACCTGCTGGCAGTGCTCTGTCTAATGCAACCCCAGGGTGCTTTGCCACAGGAGTGCACTGCTGCATGATAGTCAGTTTGTTAACTGCTAGGATCCCAGGTCCCTCTCTGCAGGAGTGCTTTCTAGCTACTAGACCACTTGCCTGTAATGGTGCCTAGATTTATTCCTGTCCAGGCGCAGGATTTTGCCTTTTCCTGTGTTTCATGCAGTTCTACTCTGGCCAGTTTTCTGCTTAGTATTCCTCTGGTTACTGTTAGCAAAGATCATCTGGCGAACTTTTTTGGGTGTCTGCAGCTGTAGCAAGGCTGAATCTCAAGATTTTAGAGGAATAGTTCAGCTAATGTGAAACTGGACAAAGGAAGGCAAGAGGCAAAATGAAGAAGAAATGACAAGAAAAAGGAAAATAAACAGGCACATCCTGGAGCAAGCTTTTAATGTTTATTTTATTTTCTTAAAAACCTTAGCATAAAAAGGTTCATTTGCCAGTCACTGTTTGATCAGGCTTGTCTATATCCATGTTTACAGGTAACACAGCAAGAAGCATTCAGTAGCTTACTCCTTTTGATCAAGTTCTTTTAATCGGCTTTCTTCCTCCTTTTCCATGCAAAAGGAAGCCCTTCTGTAGGGTTTCTCTGTGATTGGTGTTATTTTGGAATAGCTGTTCCTGAATGAGCCTGTCTGTGGCAAATGCTGCAAAATAAGAGTTCCTTCTTCAGGCTTAGCTTAATCCATCTTGAAAGAGTCCTTTGTTTTTACACAAGAGAAAATGACTGTGTCACCAGAGTAGCAGGGAGCTTCTGGGGTAGGTGGACCATTCCTGGTAGAAGCATCATTTGGTAAACTGGAACTCTTTATTTTCTGTAATTTCTTTTGTTGGCATTGCCTGTCTTCCTCTAACTCAAGCCCACAAGACTTGGCCTTTTACTTTTGTTGGTCTGTCCGAAGACTGAGGACAGCAGGATGATCTCTAGGTTGCCTTATGTATTTCAAACCAAATAAAGCAAGGAGCAAATCAGTTAAGAACCAAAGACTGTTTCTAGGAATCAGAATATTTCAGGTTGGATGGGACTTCAGAAGGTCTTTACTGCAACTGCCCTCTCAAAGCCAGTTTGGCTGGGAGGTCAGGCCAAGCTGCTCATGGCTTTATCTAGTTGGGCCTTGAAAGCCTCCAAGGATGGAGCATACCCAGCCCCTCTGGGCAGCCTGCTCCAGTGCTTGATTGTCCCCATGGTGAAAAAGTTATTCCTCCTGTTCAGTCAGAACATTTCATTTCAGTTTTAACCTTATCCACCCACCCTGTCTGTCCCCTGTGTGAAAGCAGGCACTGTTGTCTTGAAAACTTCTTCGTAGGGTTTAGCAATGTTCAAGGTGATTGTTTTTTGCTGTTTGCTCATGAATGACTACTCCTCTTTTGTTTACTTTTAGATAAATCCAGGACAGATCTGGAACAAGTACCTAAGGTATGGTCCCTGTGCACGCTAAGCTTCTGTAAGGGTTTCTCACACGTAGTCTTGACTGTAAGAATGTATTCTATTCTTCGTAGAAATTTTGTCCGAGCTGATTCTCAAGAGGATCTTCAGTGCTCAGAATTTAAAAGACTAAGAACAATCTGCTTTTTCTTTCCCTTTTTTTGTTTGTTTGATGTTGCTGTTGTTTCCTGTGGTCTTGACTTTTCCCTGACTTTAAGTAGAATACAAATGCCATTATTTTTTTCATCTTTAATAGTTAAAACCTCAGAGCTGGGCACAGTTAGCCACTCTGTGTCCTAGGAGGAAATGAAAACTGAAGAGTTTGATAGAAGCTTGAATGTTGCACAGTGTACAACTTAGCACTAGGTTTAACTCCTTGAATCCTTGAGCAAAGCCCTCTTGCATATATGCATGCAGTGTATATGATGTGTGTGGGGGGGTTTGTGGCAGGTTGACAAAAGACACAACTCCAGATTCCATTTCAGTCTGAATAATTTTTTCTATGTACATTAAGAAGTCAGTGTTAGTATGGGTCAGCATCTCTGTGCCAGTCGTGTGAGCTGTTACTTGAATAGCTGTCACTGCAGTGTTTAAAGTCCGTGAAACAAGAATGTTTGAGTGTGGTGTGATGCTATAGTCTGTGTTAAAGCTTTTAAAATTATACTTCATAGATACAGGGAGAGGGTGCTGCTGTCTGCCTGGAAGCTTAACATTTGTACCAGTTTTGTCAAGTAAAAGTAACATTATCAGGGAGAGTTTTGGATTAATAGTTCTCCCAGATGTGTAGCTAATGTTATGTGTTATTGACTCTTTCCATGACCAGCACGTTTGCTGCATTATGCTAAGGAAGATGAGCTTGAGGCTCTGTTCCCTCACAGGCAACATTTGGTGCCCCCTGACAGCTGGCTGGATCCTCACTCTGGTAGAAGCTATGGCCCCAGAAATGAGCAGATCGGCAATAGGATGCCCCTGCTATTGAAAAACTCTGTTTGCTCTGATCCTTTAGAGGATGCACCTGAAGTTTAATGTTGCCTGCATGCTCACAGTCAGGATGTTTAGATCATCTTGGATGCTTGATAATTTGTGTAATTTTGGAACTGTGCTTTCCACTTCTAGGAAGATAAGACTGTCAGATCCACACAAGCTTTTAAAGTGTGAAAAAAATTGGTTGGAAGGTCTGGAACGAATTTGTTTGCCTGGATAAATGAAAACTTGATTTTTGAAATTAACAAATAAGATCCCTTTTAGCTTCATGAGATGGGAGGTGTGTTTAACTGGGGAGGAAATTGTAGGGGTGAGGGAGGCGCATTTATTTCTTTTGTTTTTCTGTTTCAGATATTTATGAAACCAGATTTTGCATTGGAAGATTCCTTAACCTTTAATGCCGTTTTACCATGGTCTCATTTTAGTACTGCTGGTGGAAAAGGAAATCGTGATGCAGCTTCCTCCAGGTTACTTCAAGAAAAGGTACAACTGTCATACAAAATGTCATGATCCATCGCAGCTGTTAGTTACCACAAAGAAACATTGCTGCTGTTCTGTGCTGTTTGTTGAGACATCACTGTTGTGGGCTTTGTTATCTCTCCTTTTACATCAGGCTGCAGATTGTTAGTAAACAATGCAAGAAGCATCTTACTGAAAGAACTTTTTTTCCCCTGCTGAATAAATCTATCAAATCTGGAAAAAAAAAAATCTGTGTATGGCATAATAACTGCCTCTTTGTGGCTACTAAAACTTAGTGAAGCAGGTATATACTGAGAACTTCAAAGGAATGGAGCTATTTGTTAGGGAGGAAGAGCATTCTCTGAGAAAGGGAAAGCTAGAGGTTGTACACTGTTTAAGACCATTGCTTTCTCACATCTCAGGAAAACCAGATTCAAGGCACTGTGGTTTTTGTGCTAAAAGAAATATTAAATCCTAAGGTTTTTGTATGTCAGGCACTTCCTATCAATTTTGTCATGTTATCTGCACTGATCCGTTTTGTATTTCACAAAGGACTTGAGTGCATTGGAGAGTGTGAAAGCAGAGGAGTTTCTTTCATATTGGAAACAGAAAGCTTTACTTGGTCTTTTTTTTATGTTAAGTAATCACACTATGGAAAATCCCACAAAGAATCATTTTTATGGTACAAATACCTATAAAATGCTTACAGAAAATCTACACAATTTGGGACTGTTTTCTAACAATAGTTTTCCCTCCTGTGTTGTCTGTTAAAGCTTCTGGGAGCAAGGAGGGGGAAAGAAATAATACAGTAGTGAGGTGCCTTAAGAAATAGTAACACAAGATCCTCTGGAAGGTGTTTCCACATTTCCAGGAGTTATCCTTCCTGCTCTCCTGCCAGGTCTGGAGGAAGAGACAGGCTTTGCGGGAGGCTAACTTGATCATTTGTTGGATTGTCCTCCAAACCTGAATTTTGAGGAATACTTCTTTGGAGTTTCTTGGCAGGATGGACACTCAACCTGGACTTAGAGCAAAGGAGACCCAGAGCCCTCTCTAACGCAGGGGAGTGAAAATAAGACTTTGAATAGCCATTAGCCACTCTTCTTTGGAGAGGTGATAAATACCTAAATAGTATGGTGTAGTTCTATTGCCTCCAAAGCCACATGCCTGACAGACAAATTATTACACTGCTTCATATTACTGAAGTGGCCAAATTCTTTTGTTTTACTTTTTAAAGGCACTGATCTGCACGGTTTACACTTAACCATGTAGAAGTAGGCACCCTGCTGCCATAATTAGCCTTAGCTCCAGGCACTATTTTTCAACAGGATTTGGAAAACCCTGCTGTAAGCACACATACTTAGGCTATTAATGCTTTTTTAACTGCTACTGATCTACTTGAACAATTTCTCCCTGACATTCTTCTCTTCCTTACCTCCTTCCATGTCTTGCCCTACATTGGGACTGTAAGCTCTATGAGGCAGGTACTATCATTTTGTTCTGTTTGTTCTACCTCACTTAGCATAGTGGAGGGACCTGGGGCATCTGGTTGGTATAATCAAATAAATAATCAACATAACCCTTCCTCTGATCCCTGTGTCCCAGTCTGTCTCAGCTTTTCCTGTGGGCTAGGTGTGTTACAGCTGTTGGTGGAGGATGTTTTTGATTAAACTTACTACAAGAAAGATGGGTTTGCATATTGAATAAATCCCCAGTGTTAAATACATGCAGGATGAAAATAATTGTAAGAAGGTAACATTCTGCAGCTGATTTCCTTTCCATCTCTGGATGGGCCTTTTGAAACTCAGCATGAGGTTTGAGTGCTTGGCACCTCTCAGAAACCAGGTCATCTGAGTATTAGCATTCAGATGAGCATCCTAATGCCTCAGTCCTTTGAGTTTGCGTTTTCAACATAAGCCAGAACACAGAGCTTTTACAGCTCAAATAATCAGGGCCAACCCAGTGGTCTTGGTAACTGTTTGACATAGAGATTTTTAATTTTAGCTTCTAAACATGTAGGCATTCTCTGTGTCTGGGAATCCCACAGAGCCAGTGCACATGAAATATGCTTAATAGGAACTCCAGCTGGTTGGCATAAAACCCTGCAGCCAGATACATCCTGAGGATTTTTCTACAAGAAGATGCTACAGCTTTTTAAATGAACAGCCATTCCAAAGCCATGTCATCCAGTATAGTTGGGCTGCATCTTTAGCAGCTTCAGTGGTCCGAAGTACATAGTGTATTTGCATGTGTATGCTGTTCTTATTTACAAGCCAATATCCAGAGCTGTCTCCTGGTTAATGGCCATATTCTAACAGGGCCAGTGTGCATTCATGTGGTACAAAAGCTTGAGTCTTTCAAAACTATTTGCTCTTCTACCTTATAATATTCAAGCAGAAGAGGCATCAATTCAGCCTTCCCAAAATGACTTAGAACTCATTTAAAAACAAATGATCAAACCACAGCAGGTAGTTACTTGCTTGCTAATCTGACAAAAAGGGCTTTAATTTTTATTAGCAAAATTTTCTGATGATACAATAAGACAAATACCCTGGAAGTGTATTTGCATGGTCATAAACTTGTCAAGTCATGTCAACACTGTTTGTTTTTCCTTCTCCCTCCTCTTTCTAGCTGAGCCATTATCTGGACATTGTGGAAGTCAATATTGCTCATCAGATTTCTCTGCGCTCAGAAGCATTTTTTCATGCAATGACCTCTCAGCATGAGTTGCAGGACTACCTCAGGAAAACCTCCCAGGCTGTAAAATTACTTAGAGAGAAAATCGCCCAAATTGATAAAGTAATGTGTGAAGGATCACTTCGAGTTTTAAGACTGTCACTCACCAGAAATAACTGTATAAAAGCATACAATAAGCTGAAGTTAATGGCTACTGTACACCAAACACAGCCCACAGTACAGTTGCTGCTATCCACTTCTGAGTTCGTTGGAGCTTTGGACTTAATAGCAACCACACAGGAGGTGTTACAGCAAGAGCTTCAAGGCATTCACAGTTTCCGGTAGGTAATCATCTAGGAAATTAATAAAATGCAAGTAGAGCTGTAATGTGTTGAGCACATAACGTTGGCTGAAGGGATTTCTTTTACCTTTCTTTTTTCATTCATGGAGAACATAGTACGAAAGGTACAAAATCTAAGTGTGGCATAAGCAGTGTGACTGGTGCATGTGCCAGAAATAATTGTTTTTGGAGGGAGTGAATCTAAATGCTTTATACCCCATTCTTGTTTACATGTGGTTTAGGAGTGCTAATATTAGAACCAAGCAGTGGCTGGACCTTCGTCTTGCAAGGCTTGTAGCCCACATCTGAGACATGGTTTCCAAGTGGTGGTCTGCAGTCCTCATACAGGCAGCACCCCAGAGATACTCCAGGCTGGTGTCTGCAATGACTGACCTAGGCTTGTGGTGTTACAGGAATATCCACGGACCATGTGTCACACAGGTCAGCCTCCAGCCTGTGCTTGTGCTGGATGAAGCTTTGCCAGCAAAAGCCAGTGCTGAGCTATCAAGCCATCGTTCAAAATGTGGTCAGAGGTTGACATGTGGTCAGATGGGATGGTTCCAACCATGTCTGCTCTTACAGAGAGCTGTATTTACTGTGGCCAAGGGAGTGCTTCTTTTTGCTTCATCCATCTGAGTTCAGTTCTGTGAGCTGCTAAAGCTGGGAAGGGAAGAAACAGTGGGAAGGTGCTGCACAAGCTGCTATTGCTACTGTTTTTCACCCATGTTTGCTAAAGTGATAGGAGTTAGTGAGTCCAAGGTCCTGTGCTGGCTGCTTCCGTTAACTGTGGATAATTAGAGCTCCACTTGGGAGGTGCTACTGCACTAGACAAGGTCCCCCTGTGATAGGCAAGAGTATTAATACAGTGGAATCCTTTTAGCTGATATAAAATAAAACTATCATAACTGTCATGCAGAGTTTAAAAGTGGTGTATGCAAAGCTGCCACTGTGGTATGGTGTTAGCAGAAGTAGCGTATGTCAAATCAGCTCTGAGACTTGCATGAGCCAGTTCAAGAGCTGTATACTTAGTTTTAGAACTTGATGCTGTTGGGGGTGGTTGTAGTGTTTTGTTTAGGGGTTGTGTGGTTCCTGCAACCTTGTGGTTCCAGCTTGTACAATAAAAGTGTGGTTGTTGCTCAATAACTGTTATATGAATGCTCAGAACTGTATACAGTTACTACTCTTGCCTGTCTGTTCTCATGAGTTCCTCTTCTAACATCCTTCTAGCTGGTTTGGGAAAACACTCAAATTTTACATAGAAAAGATCTTAGAAAAAGTATTAAAAAAACCCCAAAAAACCAAACAACCCAAACCCTAAATATTTAAAGGGCTAATAAACTGTTGGAAGGAAAGTTGTTGGCAGCTGTTAGTCTTTTTCTTTTAGCTTAGATGATCCATCTTCAGACACCTCAGCACAGTTTTTTTCCTCTTTACTGTTCCTACTCTCAACCACTTGATTATGACGCACAGCTCTCAACTGAGTCACATTTGTATTTACCTTGATGATAATAAGTGTACTTCTACAACACGTAGTTGTTGTAGAACGTTGTCACTTCCCTACGACAGCACCAACCAATTAGTTGTGGTTTGCAATAGAGTAACCTACATGCTACATCAGCGGAGCGTGCAGTTCTGCTGTTACTGTGGTTGCTATACATCATGTCCCAAGAATGTGCCATTCTTTTAAAGTTCCACTTTAGAAGAGTTAAAAGTGGGAAGTGTCCCCTCTCCTTTGGATAGTAACGGTTCAGAAAGGTGAGTTCAATACAACCTAAGTCATCACCCCCACCAGAGATGCAAGTGTGGTTGAGAAGCCTCACACAGTTGTTCTCACAGTGGCCTGTGTGTATAGTGTCTGGAGAAATAATGTGCAGTGGAGAGAGAGAGATCTTGATAAAACTTCCCAGTAGAATGTTGTGTTTCTAAAAATAAATAAACTTAAAAAAAAAAAATCTAAACTGATGGCATACACAAACACTTAAGCTTTTTCCAAGAAACACCAAATGGATGTTCTTGCTTTGATCTGAGCAAGAATGCCACAGTTGTCAAGTGTGTTAAATAACCTCATTTATTTTAAGAAGAAATTAACTTCTAAATCAGTATCTCATTTTTCTACATAATTAGTATCTCTTCTCACCAGAACAAAACATATACAAAAACTTTTCTCTTCTTCGCATGCCATATGCAGGAAAAAAATGTAATTTGGTTCTAGTTATAGCAAAAAATGAAAGCACCTTAGGTGCTGTGAGGTTATAAATTGGTGTCTTTAATCTAGGTTAATATCCCCAGTGATTGTATGTATCAGTCATAACTGTGATTATTGCTTGCTACTACTGTAGCATAGAATTAAAGTTTTGGAGGTTTAGAATTCAAGTTCTGACCTTTTCAAGTTCATCTTTTTAATTTTACCAAATTTTAAATTTACCAGTTAATTTTAATTTTACCAAAAAAACCCCAAAAAACTTAGCATGTTAAGTAAATTACAAATCCGTACTGCCAGATTTTACACTGTCAGTCCTTGCTGGGGTGATGAAGTTACAGTGATTTTTTTTGCACAGGTATGCTGGCAAACCACACATTTATACTTTTTTATACAGTAAAACACAGATACTTGGAAAAATAGTTCTCATCTACGTGTTTTTAAAGAATTTTTACACTGCACTCCTAATTTTACATCAGAGGATTGTAGTATTCAGCCATTGAAAGGACCTGATGTGTAACTGGTACCTTTTAGAAGATAGCTGCCAAGGTGTTTCACTGGAGTATGAATTAAGGTTTAGCATCTTCTTGCATCTTTCAGGGTGGAGGGGGTTTTGTTGTTAGGGGCTAGAACACCTTAGGCAAACTGCTGGCTAATCTTATGGATGTTTCCATACCTGAGGTTTGAGAGGGTAGGTTATGTTGTGCTTCAGTGTATGTAAGCACAGTTACAGACATAATTTACTGAAGAGATCTTCGTGCTTACCTGAATAAGAGCCTTTGTGTTGCAAATATTAGTCCTGCAGTCAGTTTTGCAACTCCAGCCATTACATTGCAAATAATAATCTTCAGGGTTTTTTTCTGTTTGGTTTGATGTGTCCATGATGCTACTGGCTTGGATTTCCTAGAGGGCATTTTTGTTTAAATTAGATACTTGAAATGTGTCCATTTTGTCCATTCCAGCCAACTCTTGACCAACAATTTCCAAAGCAGGCATGTCCCTAGTCATCTTAAAATTAAAGACATTAATCTGCTTAACACAGATCCACCAAGGTTCGTTCAGTTCAGCTTAGTGCTGGGCCACGGGGGCTTCTGCAGGGAGGAGCAACCCTGGCATCGTGCTTCCTCGCACCCTGGCACTGACTTTGCCCTGTGTGGTCTGCGATGCTGGATGCTGTGGGCTTTGCATTGATACAGCAGTGCTCCTACCAGGGAGTCCCAAGACATTTTTGTTGCTCTGTCCAAGCTAATGAACCATCTACACCAGCACTAAATTAAAGCCAGGCAAGTTCATTGTCCCTATTTTGTGTTCAGGTTTATCTAAAATATCACAGCTCCTGTTAATTCTCACTGGAAAAGTGTCTATTTCTTTTCTCTTCTGTTTTCTTAAAAGAAGAAGCAGTCTGATTTTCACAGATCCTTGGTGCTTGCACTGTTGGTGGAAGTTGGAAAGCCTGCAGTGTTTGGCATGTCTGAAATTCTCACTTTAATTTTACTCTTCTAAATGTTTCTATAGCTGCACAACTTTTAAAGACTGGTCGATCAGTATTTCTGATGTGAGAAATTTCCTTGTGGTTCTGTATGACAACACTCTGCAAAATAGGTCTGAAAATCTGCAGTACATGGAAAAAATATTTTTAATATAGAGTGGCATAAAAATGGGAAATGTGAAAAGTGTTCTGTGTTCTCTGAAAGCCATTGTATCATTTAAAGCTATTACTGTATCTCAGTCACATGAATTAAATCTGTGACCACATGAAAAGCTCAAATGTTTGAAGTGGAAGAACTGATGAGCTAAGGAACCGGGCAAGCAAAAGAAGTATTCCTTCTTTTCAACACCTTTATACCAACAAGCATCGAGTATTCTCAGTTCTGGTTCACTTCATTGGGAAGAGAGGTATGCAACACCTTCCAAAAATAAAGTCCTAATTCCAATTTTTACCCTCCATCAGTATTCAAGTCCATATGTTTCAATGCAAGGTGATGGTGCCTTCATGGTTTCAACTGCGCTAAGAAGTGAAGTTTTGAGCCCCCCCTTTAAGCCAGCATTGATTGCATGGAAATTACCTGCTGGGTGGTAATTTTCTTCAACTGTGAACTAATGATTCATTTTCAGGTTGATTATTTAGCTCCTATCTCCATGGCTGTTTTTCTTAGGCATCTTGGCTCGCAGCTTTGTGAACTGGAAAAGCTGATAGATAAAATGATGATTGCGGAGTTTTCAACGTACGCTCGCAATGATTTAAATAGACCCTTAGAAGATGATTGCCAAATTCTGGAAGAGGTATGTCTGTTATTGAAATAAACTGATGAATATGTTTGCATATTTAACGTACTTAATTAGCACTAACTAATTCACTCAGGTCCCTAGAAGCAACATTATAATTTCATACTATTTCACTTTTACCCCTGCCCCTTTTCTTGTGCTTGATAAAATTGAATAATTGTAACCAACCTCATGGAACTGCAGTCCAGTCCTACTTTATTTCTTAAAAATAATCAGTTCTCTTTTTCTCTGATGAAATGTACTGAGTCCCTCAGCCTGTAAGTGGAAAAGAACATAGACTCTCATATCTACTTGACTGTAAAATGTCAGCTTTGCAATGAAAGCTGGTAGCTGCATGCTGTTCTCATTCTGTCTCCCTATGCATTTATGGGTGCTTATATCAAGCATATGGGTGCCCTGAATACATGCTACATTTGCAGTGTGTATGTATATATATACACATATATTCCTTATTCCTCTGAAGATGATAAACATCTGAAGATGAAGCTATTGTGATGGCTTTCTAGCCAGGAAAAGGTTTTTCTGGATTTTGCCTGTACTACTCTTCACTAGTTGCTAGACCCTGTTAACTATTTAGTCTCGTTTCATCAGTGGGTTTCATGAAACACTTAAATATTCCCATTTCTGCCTTATAGTTTCTTCCCACTTTTGTGCTGCGATGTGATAGCCTCTCACTTGTGTTGGTGCAATTGTATTTAGTGTCATTCTTGCTCGGGTTGAGGAAACTCACTAATCTCCAGAAATAGCCATGTTCTTAAGCACAAGTGGATGAGCATAACTGAGGAACAAGCATGAAAGGGGCTGTGAGGGACTCAGATGGTATTGCCACAGGGGACTTTGTGTAGGCCCTAGACTGATCTAAATATTGTTCACTGAGTGTTTGTTACATGAACTGCTCTGCAATTTCTTAAAACTGTTTCTTGTCCTCACCTTGATATTTTTAGTGTGTTTTATTTTCTTCTTTTTTTTTT